GGCAGCTTGCAAACACCAATCTTTTGGGAGGTAGCCGGCCAAGGCAGTGGCCAGCACATCGTTCCTCGGCAAGGCACTTTGCGCGCGGCCCTCCGTTACCCGCAATGCGCTTCCTGAGAAGACCTTCCCGAACTGGGATACCTTAGTCTGCGTTTCTTCCGGCAGCGTCACACTTGTTTGGATGAAAGGCTCCTGCACGTTGCACTGCTGCCCATGTGACAAGATCTGGATACGAAAGCCTTCGTTCTGCCACAGGTCGGAATTGTTGTCTAACAAGCAGGCCTGTGTGGATATCCTCTTGCGGCTCACGCCCCGCTGAGTTTCGCTTTCCTCTCCTCGTGCCTTGTTTTTCGCGCTTGCAGCGGCAGTGGCCGCTGCCTTGGCTGCGGCTCTTTCCGCTTTGGCTGCTCTCTCTTCTTCTTTTTTCTGAGTAGCAACTTGGCGTTTTTTGGCTGCTATCAAGTCTCCTTTGGCTGCCTTGACAGCTGCTACCAAAGTAGAAACTGTTTTCTTCTGCTGTCCACATTGCTCAGCGGTGTCTTTGATGGCCTGGTTGCTTGTGCAAAGGCGAAAGTCTGATCCTAGCTGACGCAATGCTGAGATGCTTTTGAGGTCGCGGTAATCCTTGCATGGGCCCGCTCGCGCTAAGGCTTCCAAATCGGCAGATGTTGTTTTGGAGTCAGAATCTCGTGCCTTCTCTTCCTCTTCAGTTTGCTTCTCAAACATTCTTTGAAGGGGTTCGTCCCCTTCCAACACGGCATGTAACCACCGCTGGCGGCGGTCAAGAATTGAAAGTTCTTCGGTGAAGTCAGAAACACCTGCCGCTCCCAAGGCTCGGAATTCTCCCAAGAGATTCAAGCATTCCTGCAGCAATTCCTTCAAGGTCTTTTCGAAACTTTCGACGCCGCTGATCCAACTTCGTTCTGCTTTGCGGCACTTGGTTTCCGCGTCAAACCATTTATTCTTCTCCTTGTCTTTTGCTTTGTCTTTGTCCTCATCCTGTTCCTTGTCTCCGCTTTCTTGCGATTCATCTTCGTCCTTGTTTTCGTCATCAGCTGCATTTTGCCCTCCTTTGCTTGCGCGACGGCGGTTCTTTGCAGCTGCCTCCGCCGCATATCTCAGATTGGGTGCTGACATGGCATCCATATCCACGCCTGTCACACGCGCTTGCGTTCGCAACTCGGCAACACTGACGCCACCCACCGTTTCTCCTTCTGGATTTGCGCTCTCACTGACCACCATTCGCGCCCGGGCCTGCAAAGTTTCTGCAGTAGCTGTGCGGGATAGCCGCTCTGTCTGGGTCAACTCCTTTTGGTGCGCGATCTCGTCGAAATCCGCAAGCACGGTGCGGTCTGGGACCGCTACTCTTCTGAATCCTCGCGGACCGTTGTTGTCCTTAAACACGGTTTCGTCCGCTAGCCATGCATCCCACTTCGACTGCGCTTCCTCTGGCGTCAGGTACCCGTGCTTTGCGGTCTTTGCCTCTTCTAACCAGTGGCCATGCCACATCATCTGCCGTTGGTTCTCGCAGCGGTCGCCGCTCCTGCTCTGCAAGGATTTCTTGAAGGTGCTGATGCTGAACTTCATCTTCTTTTCCTCCTGCCCGCATTTGATGCGCTCTCCGACAAAGCCCCTGACGATATCCTTGTGCATCTGCGGGTCTGATTTTTGCAACTCAGACATCTCTTTTTTGCATTCCTGTTTGTCTGCGTGCCTCCAAAAGGCCCGCTCCTGATTACTGCAGTCCCTGCATTTAGCTTGATCTTTGTTGAACTCTGAAGGTGCCTTTTTTTTCCCACAGAAACCAGTGCACTTCTTGATCTCGTCTGCGGCTTGTGCCTCGCTTGCCGCTGCAGGGGTTGTCTCTTTCTTGCTTTTTCTTTTTTTCACAGGCGGCTCCTCAGACCTCGGCGGCGGCGGTGGTGCTTCCGCGCTCTTTAGGACAAGACCTGCTGGCTCACCAGATTCCAGCTGCAATCCCATCGCCATCGCGGCATCACTGTCCACGTCCATTTTGTTGGCGGAAGCTGCAACCGGTTGGTGTCAGCAAACCCAGAATGAAAGCTGTGTCCTTTATTGCTGTATCTCAGACTGAGACTATGTGTTTCTGTGTGATGACAGCTTTGGGCTTTGCGACCAAGACATGTTGCAAACATATTAATGGGTGGGTGCAAATGTTCGACTGTGCCTACATGAATCGAATTGACAGAAAATAACCCCGTTGACTTCACCTGGACCAGGCCCGTTCTCGTGACACTGTCTTCTGAAGCCAAAATGCAAACATAGGACATGGCAGAATGCAATTCAACTTTCAATCCATCGATGCCATGACCATGGCAATAGCTAACATGGCAACAGCTAAGGCAATGCCCGCCAAACACACAGCGGACGAGCCAAGCATTCATGTTCAATTACTGGGCATGCTGTGTCATTGTGTCCTGCGCTGCCAAGATGGGCGTGCACTGCGCTGAAAACTCATAGAACCAATGCTGTGGGCTGATGGGTGATGCGGACTGGCTTCAAATATTTGATTGTTTGTAGCCTAGGCCTGGTAAACCCTTTCGCAAAGTTGGTTGTTGGCATCTGGCTTGCTGTCGCCGCCATGACTCCGCAGATCTGCTGGGCCTGGGGGGCCGTCCATAACCTTACTGATTCTGGATGTGTAAGCTGTGTTCGACAGTTTGTCAAAACTATTTACAGTAAAGCTTTGCCTGCGCGTGTGATTTCAGAATTGTTTTTAATGTAGGAGGTCGCGTTAGGGCGGTGCTGTAGACTGTGGGTCTGATTCCTTCTATGTTTTCCCATGCGATAAACAATTAAGGTGTTGCACTCATACACTCAGAGATCTTGGAGGGCCTAGCCAGGTTCCGGCTCAGATACCTTTTCAAAATATTTCAGAGCTACGCAACCATAACCATGGAATGCACAAGAGTCAAGTTCACCTGCTTTTCAGACAGTTGAAACAGTTAAACTTTTTTCTTTCTCTCCGTTCGTGGTTGGACTTGGAGCCAGGGCTCAGTATTCAAAACATGCTGCAGCTCACCGCTCCAAATCATTACGCGGGGGCAAAACGCTTTCAGCACGTTGTTGAACTGCTAACATGCAAATCTTGAATTGGGCTGCGCATGCTTCTGTGCAGCTATGCGCCGCTTGTGCGCAGCTACCCGCTCCGCGTCTTTGCAGACGCAATCCAAAAGCAAAACACAGCAGCTATGTTACACATGCTATCTTGCAGCTGGCTGACCCAGTTTCCAGAAAAGGAGAACTGCAAAAAATGCACCACTCTTTGTTTGTGCCCTGGGTGGATAGCTACCCCCCTCAACTTTTGCGGCTGCTACTGCGGGGCATCCCGCCCCGCTGCTGGGCCTGTGTGTCTGCAGATGCTGGCGCGAAGTCAGGCTCACGGTGACTCACAGCCATTGCCATTGCTTTCAAACCCACATGGGATTGACACATAATCACGGTCAGTGGCTGCCGCAGCAACTGCAGTGGCGGCGTCGGCAGCCGCAGCTTCAGAAATACTGATGAAGTCGCACTGGCAATCTTTGGAGATGCAGGATGCTGTGGCATACTCCTGCCTAGGCATGCAGGCAGGACGTGAGTGAGAGTCGACCCGATATATCAGAAAAAGGGTGAAAAAGCGACATACATGTCGGAAGTTGCTTTGCAATGCTAGGCTGGGCTGGTACAGTATTGCACAGAGGATCATCACTATCGTTGGAAGCAAGTAGACAACACCGAAAACAGTTTGCAAAAGGGGGGATGATCGGAAACCCTCAGAGCAGGAATTAGGCCAAGGCACTCAGTCAAATATTTTGATTCTTTCAACACATCCAGCCAACAAGATAAGCAAAGGCGTTCATGTTTCACCGCTTCTAAGAAGTCAATTGTGGCTCGCATCTCCGGCGACATTGCAACTGCAAGTTGCGCACTTGCAGCAAGCTGGGCGGCAACGTGTGCTTCACTGGAAATGCTTTGTTCAAACAGAACATGCGTATGCCAAATGCCACTGGCTGCAAGTTTTTCGTTGCAACCCGTTGTTGGTGCTATTTCTTGATCAGTTATATATATATATATATATATGTATATATATATATATACAAATATGTTAGCTTTAAACTGCAATGCTGCAACCTCATACATGCATGGCAAGCTGTTGTGTTTTGCCTTGTGTTTTGGAGCATTCAACTTGGGAGCCACACTTTGTATGAGGGCCGTGCGCCCGTGGAAGCATGGGAACACAACGAAGAAACTTGGATGCGAATTTGTTCTAATGAATTGAAACTTGTAAGCTGGCTCAACTTTCTTGCTGTTACCATGTGTGAGCGTCGGGCTGTCCAGCTAGGTGGCGTGGCTGCAAGCAATTGCTGTTCCATAAAATGATTTCTTTAGGTTCAGTTCCGTCCACTGGCATTCGCCTTTTTGCTTGCTGTGCCAGAGTCTGCTGAGGCGATAGGATGTCGCCAGCGGCAAAGCCTCAGGTTTGCAAAAGCACTTCGCACACGATAAAAGTGTGTAAGGTGAATTTGGCTCATGTTCACGAAAACTGCGTTGGAAGAATTGAAGGCAACAACGATAACACCTGTACAAGAATTAACATTGCTGTTGCTTCTGCTATTTCTGGAACAAACGGGCAAATCAAAACAAATGTGGGATACGACACTACCAAGTTGCAAACAAATCAATTAGATAACCCCCTGATATTAAGCCATGAAACATACCGCCTACAGACAGAAACAAATTTGTTCTGATGATGAAACGGGGACTTGCACAGTGCAGCGCACCTTATCCAAATCTTTCCATGCGTTTTGTGGAGAAAAGACAATAGAATTCTGTAGCCAGATGGGTGGTGTAACCAAACAGAGGAACAAAAACACCATCAACGCAGAAATGAAAAGCGAGACACTGCACCAAGCCATACGGTGGGCTTCCCGGTCCTGATCTGATCTTCTGTGCATGATGCGCTCACATGCTGGACTGCGGTGGATGATCCGCTGTGCTCACAGTGCTCTAAGTCGGGCTGCTTCTCTTTCATGCTGTAACATCTTCTGTTGCAGCCAATAGAAAAGCAGTGACAGCACCAACCACTTGGCAGTGCATTCCGTTTCCTGCGAAGGATTTTAGGCGGGAATCCCGCATGCTGCTGACAACTTCGAAGATGTTTGACCGATATGGGTTGTCGAAATTTCCATATATGTTCCAGCCCTGGATCTCTAAGTGCTCCATGGGCAGCGCTAGGCGCCGCTTGCCAAAAATCCAAAGGTTTGTATGCTGCAGCATGGCGGGAACATTTCCGCGCACCGGGCCCATGAAATGGGGCTGCTGTGCGACGTTTGATGTCCAGTGCCGCAGCTCCAAAGGATCATCCGCCGTCGCTGCCAAGCCAGAGTCAAGGTCAGCAGAAAGTAACTTCCGCTCTAGTTCTTCTTGGTGGGCTTGGATCTTGTTTCGAACAGCTCTGCTGACCGCTTGGAAGCAAGACCAGTCCTTGCCGCTTCGGGTCTTCTCGGGAAGGTGTTGCTGCTCAGCAAGTTTGGCTATATAGTTCTTCACACCCAAAGCCGGGGCCCGAAACTTGTCGGCTGCAGTCATGACGATGTTTCGTTGAAAGACTGCTTCGAAAACTTCTTGCCATGTTTCCCCCAAGCCCTGACGCAGCAGTTCATGTCTCCACCGCCGCTTACCTTTGCGGAGCATGCAAATGTAAAGCCGCCGCCGCTCCACAGGCTCACCCATCAGAGTTGGGCTGACATTCAAACATTCTAGATCGAACTGATGCGCAGTCATTTCCTCTAGCGTTGCTACATCGAAATTCAACGTGTTTTCACCTACCACGATATCTTCTTCAAATTGCAATCTCTCCGATAGCCATTGAACAAATGGCAATGTGGATGGTCCGAACCATCCCCTGCGGCTGCCCATTGACGACCAATCGTAGCAATTGAAGCCTGCTACGTGTAGTTTCAAAGCGGGGCTTCCCGCTTGATTGCTTGTCCCTTCGCAGCCTGCTTCTTCTTTGCATGCCGACGCCGCTGGACCAGAATCTTGATCGTCGCTTTGCAAGGAAACAGGGTACACAGGGCATTGGCCACCGTGCTTGTAGCAAAAACTGGTCACCTTTGACAAGTCTTGCTTCATGACCCTCTCCAATGTCTCCTTGGCAAAAGCAATAGGATCGATGCCGGTCTGCAACACCTCGCTGTTGTGGATGCGGTCGATTTCTTCCGCTACTTTGTTCCAAATGTCTTTGTTGCATCGCTCCCCTATGTCGCCAAAGACACACTTCGGGGCTCCAAGGCCTCCTTTGCGGCTAGATGCCAGAAGCACAGTGCGACATTCCGCTTCCTTGTCCCCGGAGCGTTGAACATACAAGTATGGCAGCTTTCCACACAGCCGCTGGGTTGCAGCTTCTGCAGCAAGGCACAGGCATCTGGCGGCTTCCTCCGCTGTTCCTATGCCGCTGTAGTCACTGGAAAAATGAATGCCTTGAGTGACAGCATCCACAAAATTTCCCAGCAGACCCTGCCGCTCCAAGCTCTCCAGGATAAGATCTGGCCACATGTCACTCTCAGCGGGGCTTCGCGGACCATCCACGGTGGCGCACTGCACTCCGCTACTTGACCCGTCTGCAACGTCTTGCTGCTGAACCGGTTTGTCTCTGCGTCGCTGCTTCTTAGCAGGCCTTGAAACATGCATGGCAATGGCAAGAGGCAAGTGGCAAAACCAGAAAATTGCGAGAGAAAGCTGATGCCACTTAAGAATTTAGAGCAGCAGGGTCGCTGCGCAATCAAACATGTGTTTTAAAGCCGTTGTTCCTAAAATTCGTCCCTTGCAGTGGTTTCTGACATAAACCGTTGCAAAACACATATTTTTTCAGAATTCCATTGGCGAATGGTGCCTCTGGAGCCAAAACACGCAGAAACTGGAGATGCAGCCGCTCAAAGTGTGCAAAATGTAAAAGACCAGGGGTGCGGGAAGTTGAGGCTGTCATTGGGGGAAAACCTTTGCTAGAAATTGGCTGAAATGTTATATTTTGAGAAAAAGCTGCAAAACCGAACCGCGCCCGAACCGCGCCCGAACCACGCCCGAACCACAATGGTCCAAAAAATGCATGAAAATGGGAAAAAAACAGAAAACAGACAAAACCCGAACCACGCCCGAACCACGCCCGAACCATATGTGCAAACCCAAGGACCGAAGTGACTCTAAGGACGCGACCCCTTTTCACATATTTCAAAAGAATATGATTTTCATGGAAAAAACCTAATGGCAATGTACTTACATACTACCATCTATGAAATCACTCAAACGCAATAGTTTGCAATGAGATCCCATTCCAAAAAAATGAAGCTGCATCAAACATCGATGAAAACGTTGAAAAACTTGTTGAAACCCCAAAAAAATATACCCAACATTGTTGTATCAAAGTTTCTCCAAAAATCAGGAACAGATGCCCTAAGAAAACATATATGCACACAATGTGTGCTGAAAAGAAACACATCTGAAGGTGAAATGCCGAGAGCTCACACAGGCGCAGCCTTTTTTCACTGTGGCAGCGGGGTCAGGCTGCAGGTCTGCCGGCGGGGCTTCCCGCTGCTGGCACCGGTTGCAGGCAGGTTTACCCGCTAGTTGTCTTCGAGCGCTTCTGCAGGCGGAGCTTCCCGCTGTCCCTGCTCTTCTCGCAGCTTGCGCCGCTGCTCCCGTCTGGCTGTCTTTTCTTCAGCCGTCTCGTTCCTTCTTTTTTTTTCTTTTTTTGGGCGGCGGAGATTCCCGCTGTTTAAAATATTCTACCTCGGCGGGGCTACCCGCTGCAGGTTCTGTTTCCTCGGCAGCTGACGCCGCTGTTGCTGCTTCCAAATCCCCGGCAGCTGATGATGCTGCCGCTTCCTCGGCCTTTTCTGCAGATGCAGCTGGCGGCATTGCCGCTTCTTCTGATTTCTGAGCAGCTGCCGCTGGCATTGCCGCTTCTTCTTCTTCTGCTTTTTCTGCAGCTGGATCAGCCGCTCCTTCTGTTTTCTCTTCATCTTCTGCCTTGCTTGCAGCTGGCGCCGCTTCTTCTGCTTCTGCCGTCTCAGGGGCATCAAGCGGCGTCTCGTTCATGGTGGCTGGCACAGCCAGTGCGACGACTGGCAATCCACTTGGAGGATCATAATCCACTTCACCACTGAGCCAGATGATGGAGGTGACCGCGGTCTCCATGTCAGGCTCTGCCCCTTTTTCCTCAAGCCCTGGCGGGGCTTCCCGCTTGACTGCTGAACTTGATGCGGCTGCATCTCCTTCTTCCGCCGCTCCTTTCGGGTTTGCAGCCAAAGCTTCGACCAAACCTGGAGATTCTAACGCCTCCCTCACTTTGGTTTTGAGTCCTTGCAGATCTGTTTGCGACTCTGCGTCGGCAACCTCGACGCCCTGCACTTCTTCTTCTTCTTCAGTTGCCGTGCTCTCTGGCACGCTTGGCAAGTGGCCTTGATTTCGATTCTGCAGCCTGCGGTATATGCCCCGCGCTTGCCTTCTCGCTTTGGCTTCCGCTGACCTGCGGAGGTTCCGGCTCCCTTCCACATGCTTCCAACCATGGAAACCTTTCCGGGTCTTCCAGACCCATCCTTTGGGCCATGCTTCGTTACCGTCTGCTGAGGAAGCACGGCGGCGCTGCGGCGATTCCCGCTGCGGGGCTGCCCGCTCTTCCCACCACCCGTCCTGTTTTTTCTCATCCCAGAAATTTTGCGGAGCTTCCCGCTGTCCTAGCGCCCTTTCTCTGTAATCTGGGTTGTCCCATTCCCACCCCCAGCTTCGCTCCCGGATTGGTGGCAGTGAGGTGTGTTGCCGCCTGTCTGCAGGTGGCGACTGTGCTTGGCTGCGCGGGGCACTGCGGGAAGGGCTCCTGGATCGATTCTGCCAGCGCGTGGTCGCGGTGCCGCTGCTGCTGCTTCTTTCAGAGCGGCGGGAGCTGGGCTCCTGCTCCTCCTCACTGTCAGAGCTGTGGTTGCGGTGTGAGCGAGGGCGCGGCCTATCGCGCACATCTCTCACATCTTTCCGCTCCATTTCGCGGGGTTGCCGCTCTACCTCTTCACTATAGTCACCATGGTGGCGGCTGCCTCCGCGCCGGTCATAGTCATAGTCATAGTCACGCGGCCAGTTGTCACCGCTGCTGTACCTGTTTTGCTCTCGCCATTCACGCGGCCAGGCGTCGCCGCCGCCGCCGCTGTAACTGTTTTGCTCTTGCCACTCACGCGGCCAGGCATCGCCGCTGCTTCTCCAATCTTCCCAGCCCTTGTCCCACCGATGATCTGACCAAGACCCTTGGTTCCAGGACGAGCAGCTGTCTTGCCATTCATTGCGGTACTGCCCGCCTTGCCACGAATCCTCCCAGGAGGACGACCACGACATGCACACGGCCGGATGGCGGGCTAAGGCCGGTCGGCCTGTCAACCGCCAGAAGTTGAAGTGGAACTGAACGAAAATACGATGTTAGTTGTTGACAGTTATTGTGTGTGTTGTTGTTGGCACAGAAATGTTGCAAATAGAAACTCAGATTTGCGAAAAATACACAGATATAGACACAACTGTACCTATTTAGTGCCGTGTTAAACTTCTGTGGAGGACCTGGTACCTTGTGCATGCCACCTACGTCCATCATGGGCATGGGCATGGTCCATGGTCCAAAAACTTTGGCTACTTGAGCCGCCGCTGCCAGCAAATGGCAAATTAAAATTCAAATCGAAAACATAATTTCAAGTGGCTTTCACACTGCCGGCCACAAAATCAAACCAACTGCGTCAAGTAACCAAATAATCAGCAGAAATATATATGATGTATGCGACTGATATACCATTCTTGAAAAGATTTGAAAAGAAAAATCGTAAAACATGCGCAACCTCGTTTTGGGGGATGATAGAAAACATTTTATTCACACAGAATCCTAAACCGGTACCTGGTAGACCTAGCACGGGTTGATGCGAGAAGTTCAAAGTTCAAATCACTGCACCATAGGGCAAAAACTCACAATATAATTCCTTAACTGGTTGCTTCCTAGCGCATAAGCGTATTCCGCAGCCCCATTTTTTGACACGAGCAGTGAGGTGAGTTGATTGAACCGAAGCCACCGAATTCGCGGCATCGCGTTAACTAGTCACTAGTCTGATTCAGAACTCGGGCTGCTACTGCTACTGTTGTTGGAAGCGCTGCTACTGCTGCTGTCACTACTGCCGCTTTGGGCAGAAGCAGAAGCAAGCTCAGAAGCCTCGCTCTTTTCGATTGCAGAGGGAATCTCCGCTGCCTCTCTTTTTCTTTTTCGCTTTGTGGCTTCTTTTGGCTCTGCCTTTCCTTTTCGTTTAGCCTTTGCTTTTGCAGATTTCTTGGCAGAATTGTCTACTTCCTCTGCGTCATCTAGCTCTTGGTCTGTTGCAGCTTTCGCCGCTGGTGCCCTCAACAAGGTGAGTTTCTGGTCCAGGATCTCCTGCGGAAGTACATCCGCTCTCTTTATATATGCGGCGGTGTGATGTCGCTTCCTGGAATGGAGTGGTGCCAAGAGGCACCAAGATTGAAGCATCCTCTTGGCTTCTTCCTTGGTTTCTTTAGATGGTCCGACCTGCATGGCTCTTGTACAGCCTGTCTTATCACTGAGCCGATGGAATGGACAATGTGCTTGATATTGTCCGTGCGGTGGCCGCTTTTCGGCGGTCGTGAAGGTGAACCGGAACGGCCCCCATTGAAAGGAATCCGGGTGGATTTCCCTGTCCGCCGCTGCTACTCTTTTGCGAGTGTCGGGGGCCAAACTGGCTGCAGGGCCCCCCCGCTGTGGAAGTTCACGCGGCTCTGCCACTGCTGCTGGCAAGTCTTCATCTTCTTTCTTTGGCGCGGCAGCGTCTGAGGCTGGTGAATCCGCTCCAAGAGAACCTTCCTCGTCACCATTGTCATGACTGAGATTTGCCATTGCGGCATGCTTCAGTTCTTCAGAAGCAGCATAGCTTGGGCTATAACCAAGAGATGCAACTTCTTCTCCTGCATCATCATCCGCTTCCACAAAACCAAAGCTTTCAACATCAGTATCCAAGCCGGCGTCTGAAAGAGATCCAGCATCGCAGTCAGCGTGCTCTTCCAAATCCACTTTTTTTCGATCTTCTAAAGGAATCCATCTTTCCAAAGGGTCGGCAGCCAATACAGAAGAGGGCCGGACTCGGGCGTGAACTCCATCCTGATGGAACAGATGTTCTTCCACATCCATCTCCAAAGCTTCTTCACAAGGCAAGGCAGGGCTACCCGCTTGATCCTGGATCTGCAAAAGCTCCTCAGGCGGCACTTGACCATCATGCGTTTGGTCAAGAATAGACAAATAGTACTTTTCATTTTGTCCATGGTGAATGGCTTGGACAAACCCGTGTGCAAATAAAGTTTCAGCTAAACATAAAGCCTTCAAATATGCCATGCTCTGCTTTCCTGAGAGTTGCACCGAAGGTGCGTAGAAAACTTTACGCGGAGATTGCGGCTTGATCGGCGGCAAGCGTCGCCGCTCAGAGACTTTCTGTGGGCCGCGCTGCATGTGCCAGCCATTGTGCCACAATATTTGCAATAGTTCCCAACTGCTGAACTCATCCAAGTTTTCCAAAGGCAGCTGAGCAAGTTCCTCCGCACTTTTGAAAACTTTCTGCGGCCTTCGAACCGCGTGCATGTGGACAAGACTTGCAACAGCTTGCTGCGTT